CGGGCGCCCGTTGCCGCCTCGTAACCGATATGAAACCCTCAAACGCGCCCTCGTGGTGGGCTTGTCGCTTCATCTGCGCGTTGCTGTAATCGTGTTTTCAAATCCTCCTTTATTCTTGTGGAAAAAGTGTCCTCTCGCTGCTGCAAGAATAGAGGCGCGTTACGGTCGTTCTGGAAAGTCTTATTTTTTTCCCCCCCAAGAATCTACTTGCGGATGAAAGTGCAGTAATAACGGTCTCCCGCAATAGCAACACGTGTCTTACAGTCCCTATACTTCTGCTTGGGGGAATTTGTTTTAAGCATCTATGAACATGACTGCTCTGGTGTAACTCCTTTTATTATTACTATTTTTATTTAATATGCTCGTCACCCAAACTTGGCGCGGCCGTTCAGCCCGAGGAGAAGCAGCGCCCCGTGGTTTCTGCTGGGGCAAAGTTGGGAATTTCCTCAAGGTGGCAGCGCTGCTCTAGGGTTTCCGCACGGCGGCTGCCGCTTTCTCAGCGTTTTCATGCGAGACGTGGGCACCGCTGTTTTGTACATGGTTTTGAGATACGGCACTTTTTGAGTTAAAAGCAGGGTTATTGCTTGTGCACATCACCAGAGGAACCTTAGGAGAAAGTAGTGCAAGCGAAAATCTCCACCGGGCCAATACATGTCCTTCTCCCCAGCATCTAAAGACTTATTAAAAAGCCTTAGCGGCCCTGACAGCAAGAATAAGAGGACCATTTAATGCATAAAACATTAGCTGCCATCCTCTTTTCACATTCTAGCCTACAAATACACAGTTAATCAACTAGAATGCCAGTTTACAGTGCCTTACCATGTTTTTTCTTTTTGTCTTTTTTTTTTCTTGAATAATAATATGGAAGGATATTGTTTAGGGATGTCACTCATTTTACTATTATTCTATCATTAATATGTACAGTGTGTCCTTATAGGCACATAATTGCTTTATTCAGTCACAGAAAATTCATTTTCTAGGCAGACATGACATAGAACATGCACCCTACCTAGCAGTTCAGAGAGCTGTTCCTCTGCATTGTTCAGAGTTTGTGGGCTACGCTCTCTTATTCACCTGTGGTCTTGTAACCTTCCTCGTTTAGCTGTCTCTGATAAGAGATGCAGTCCAGCTGATGCAGCCCAGCTGAATAACCTTGGCTCTGACTTCTGAGAAAAATGATAAGCAGAGAAAAAAGCTGTAAGGAAGTATTTAGTCTTGAGCCATATAAGATAAGGTAAAATTGCAGACCAGAGGTAAGATCATCAATGTGAAAAGATACAAAATCCTGTGAGAGAAGAAAGGAGTCAGAACAGCAACACATCAGTGCTCTGATAGGCATTAGAGGCCGAGCCTTCTCCACTTGGCTGGTGACAGCCTGGTGCATGCAGGCTGAGCGGGTACCTTAGTAAGGAGGGAACCATATTACTGCCTTGTTAATCCAAGGTGGTGTGTGATTTGGCCTATACGCTATTGCCTTGTGGTTTGAAGTTGTCTGTATCTTGTTTGCAAACTCTGTTCATGCATTATAGTGGTTACCTGGGTCAAGGGGCTAAGAGAGTGAGTGTCACAAAGGATAGTGAAAAGATCCAGTGTCTCCCAAGGTGCTTTTCTAGGAGGAAAACACACATTTTTCTGTCCTTGCATTCAGCTAGCTTTGTTACTGCTGTGCACAAGGAAACATGGATGTCTATTAGTGTTAGTAGCAGCGTTATTGTTAGTAATAACAAGGATGATGTGGTAGTTATTAAGACTACAGTGTGCTTGAATACTGCATAATGAATAACAGGTTTTGCCTAAGGGGAATTCAAAAGACAAAGCGTGTGGGTGAGGAAAACAGATAAACCCAGCAAGGCGGTGAGAACAGGGCAGCATGAGCATGATCTGTGCTTCATCTCTGCCGTTCGCGTGTGTCCTGAAGGGGCAATTTTTTCACATTCACGGTTGGAAGACTCTCATTGCGTGTAGGAGAAGGATGGAAACATCTCTTCAAATTCTGCTTTCTGTTTATAAACTCAGCCTCTAACCAAAGTGATCCTATTTTAGGCATTGGATATGTCCTAATAATAGCAACATTGAAGCTGCTGTAAGATTTTGTCTTGCATCTGCCCGGTGGAATATCTGATTAAATATTAGTGGTCAGTCATGTATGTTCTGGAAGTTCAGGAGGGTTGGTGTTTTTGTTGTGCTTAGCCTAAGCAGTATTTTTATGGTAAAAGCAATGGTAAGATTCACGCGGATGCCCTTTCTGTGTGCTCAGAACCTTTGATGTGCCCTGCGGCGTTTTTCTGAGCCGCGTTCTTAAGTCTTTGAGTGGCTGCAAGCCATTGCCACCAGTCTGGAAATAAAGACGCTCCCCTCCCAGAGATAAGAATTGCTGGCTTCTAGGATCAAACTCTTCACAGAGATTCCCTATCTGCAGAGGCTGAGTGTGACTAACACTGCTGTAATATTTACTGACAGCAAAATAAATTCAGCAGAAGGCAGTCAGTTAAAAATAAGAAGTGATGTCATTCTCTGCCTGTCGCTTCCTGTCACTGAGGATGGCACAATGCTGTTCTTTTTATGTATAACGAAGTATGAGAAGTGCAATTTGATTGTCACAGGCAAAAGAATAGGGATTTTGAAAAATTCTTTGACCACTGAGCATTTTATCAAAGTAACTGTATTGATGGTAAGTAGCAGTACCCAAGAGCCGGGGAACGTTTTCTCTCTCACATATCTGCAAAAGTTTTTTTTTTTTTTTTTAATGAGCATACAGTTCCTCAAAAAATAAAAAAAAAAAAAAGTGTTTTCAGCTTTTACTCCATTATAAATGCATTTTTCTTGAATCAGGAACCTGAAATACTGAAAAATTATACTGGAACTGGCACCATATATATGTGCCATAACGTGCCATATTGGATATTCTTTTAATCCTTTCTCACGTCCAAGGGAGAATTTTCTTAAATTGTTACACACCTGGAGAATAAAAGTATATTTGCAAATATTCTTAAGCCTTTTTTTCGTCTTCCATACCACTTTTGATTTTATGTAGTGGGGTTTTGTTTGTATGTTTTTCATTCCTGACTAATTCCATAGCTGAATACAAAATAAGCCCCAAATTAGTATTGGTAGTTAATCAGCATTAAAAAAGGCTGACTGATCTATTGCAAACTCCCTTTACGGAAGAGAGAAGTTTAACTTTCTCGTTGTAAGATGCTACCAAGGTTTCCCAGCTTTCTTTTCTGCTCAGAAAAAGCAGAATTCAGACTATTAGTCTAGGGGGGCAGGTAATCTCAGGGAAATAATAATTTATTTTAATAAAGGATGCTGGATTTGACAATATTTGAGAAGAGGTACATGAAATTTACTACATGATTCATAGTCTAGAATAGTTACAAAGCTTAAGGCAGAGAAAAATGTGAATCACACTGTAGTGACATAGTTTAATATTTGATTTTCTCCATGCTTTCTAATACTGATACTGTTTTTCTCTTCTCACATTTATTTTCCCAATTGCTCATAAATTATGGCAATCTATGGTGATACTGTCGAGCAAATTCATGTATAATTAGGACCAAGGGACCTCGGCTCTTCTTTCTGGCTACTGGTTTTCCATTAGATACAATGAGAGCATTGATCCATTTGTTCCTTATCTCACCAGCAGGAAAAAAGAGCCGGAAAACACAGCATTAGCAAGAATTAATTACAACCCCGGAAACAATGCTGGTCCCTTGGCTTTGAGAAGACGCACTCAAAAAAAACGATGGATGTTGAGATTACTGTTAGATGTAAGTGATTTCTGGTTGTTCTGTTCTTTGTGTTACAGAGCTTCACCTGATCCATCTTCCGTTGGCTCCAGAAGTATCTACAAATACACAAAGACTTTTGCCCTTCCAGGCTATGCCTGGAGCATTGCTAAACGCTTGCAGCTTTTCAAGGCTCGGTGGCTGCAGTGCTTATGTAGAGCACAAGTTTCCGTCAGTCCTTCCCTGGGATGAGGTTTCAGAAGAGTGCAGCAAGCCCATGTTTACAGGCCCACACCTGGTTTATTGGGAAATTCATTTGAATTCCCCTGCTTGACTATGGCCTGGTACAACTGACATCATCTTTAGCAAATTTCCTAGCTGGTGCTTGTAATCTCAATTAGCCGATTCCTTTGACTTGGAAATGCACAGTAGGAGCCAGCATATCTCATAATGAGACAGCCTGGAATTAATTACTTATCATGATTAGAAATGTGCATTTTGCTCTGCTTTTCGGTGAGAGGTAACATGCTCTTCATCCTTACAGGGCTCAGTGGCACTATGGCCCCGGAGAGCTGCTGCCCCTGCTTTTTCCTTTAGCCCTTGCACCGTGCTGTCACACGTGCTGCAGGAGCTCCTCGGGGTGAACATCAGCCAGTTGATTGGATTTAGTAAATAAAACAAAATGTCCTGTGATTTTTCTAAGGCATATCAATTACTGATGGGTTGACAGCTCCCACAAACTAGTGATGGGTCTGAGGTAAACTATGTGACTGAATGGCCATTAAACTGAAGGGCCTGACATGGCTGAAGTACACTGGGTACCCACTTATCCGATCTGACTGAGACCTCTTCTTTCAAGTCTATCAAAAAGGAGGTGCATATAGAAATCACTGCTTTTTATACCCCAGTCAGTTAGTCAGCAGGGCTACTGGTCAATCAGACACATATATAGGCTATTTACACAGCTGTCTTACTTCTGAGCTATATTCAAATATAAATAAATAAATAAAGCAGTGAATTAAATTAGGCATTTAGAATATGCCAGTAACAAAAATGTTTGAGCTGTGATAATGAGGGTGATTAAGAATGTGGGGCCCTGCAAGGATTTAGTGATTATCTCTTTAGGGGCACCTTGATGCAAAAAGGCATTGAGATTACTGATCTCCCCAAACACAAACCTTTCTGAAGATTTATGTTTTAATATTGCTGAGCAGGGAAAAAAGCAGGAGGGGAATGAAGATTTGGCTTCACCCACAGAGCACTGTGACCAACAGGAAGACTCAGTTCCTTCTTTCTGTGTGTGAAAAAGGAGCGCTGAGCAGCACCTACACCTTCTGTCAGTGCACAGGCTGTAGGAGGGGGATTGTATAAAAATCATTGTTGCTTCAAGATGTAGCTTGACCAATGCCACCTATCCAGTGAAGCCACTCAGTAGAAGTTAGTTCTAGCCAAATATCAAGAGTTATGGCCCAGTTTAGTAGGTCAGAATATAACACTGGCTTGGTCAGTATTAATAAGCAGTAATAAGCAGTCTTTGACTACATGTTCTGTGCACATCTGTTCTCAGGATCTACAGCAGCTACAGTCTACCTGGCACTGGGATGTTTTGCAAAGTTTTGGGACAGACAAGCCTAGCTGATTCAAGCGTAGATTTATGTTTAGCTTTGTGATTATATTCATTTTTCTCCATATTTTAAACAATAGCTGTTTTGGGGCTGGCCATAAACTTGCAAAAGCTAATATTAAAAACTCATATTGACTTCAGCAACTGTTAAACAGGACAAGATAAATAGGAATGAAACATAATGGCAGAAAGAATCTAAGCCGATAGACAAAAATCTACATTTGAAATGGAACATAAGGAATTCTCAAGGTTTGGGTTTAGTCCAATGAGAGTCAGAAAGAAAACTCCCCAGAAGGAAGACTCTCATATCTACTGGTATCTGCTGTAGGTTTTTTTGTTTGTTTGTTTCTGCCTTTCCTTTGCATCTTACTCCGAAGCACCTTCTGTAAGCTGTCATTAGAAGCACTGTTCAAGACTACACAGACAGGCTGATTCATTTCACTGATTCATGGGAAAATAGATATATTCTTCACTTGCTTCATTTGCCATAAAAGGTGATGCTGTATTTGACTTGGGAGTGAAACAATATTCATTACTGCAACATATTGCAGAAAAATGCTTCTTCTGATAGCCGAGAGGCCTGCTGCAAAGGATTTGGTCTGCAGCTAATGCAGCAGCACTCATTCATGTTCGTAAATTATTTCTGAGGTATAGTCCCCAGAGGAGGATATAATTAAGACAAATAATGCTGTATTATTTTTGCTGAATTTTATATTATTCCTATCTATCATACTTCATGTATAGCAAGGCAGAAAATGAATTACTCCATAATATGATAACAGGCTTTCCAGCAGAGTTCCATTACCACTTCTGAGCCTTTTCATTTTCATTCATAAGCATTACTATTTCCCTCAGCACTTATATATACATATTGTATATGTATATGATGCCAACACATGACTACCAGTATTACAGTCCAACTGGAATTCATTACCGAAGGTAGAATTTTGTCTATCTCTTTCCACAGCATCAAAAATCTGGGAGAAGGCTGTGAGATACAGCTGCATTCTGAAGTAATTTACTAATTATATATAATGGTTTCTAAATATGCAAGTAGCAGGTTGCTCAAGAGGACATTAAAATATACAATTAAAGAGTTCCTAAATTATTTAAAAAGGGACTACCTCTATGTACTAAAAGTTCATTGTTGTTGATTGTATCACAAGATTAAGCTTTAAACTTCCAGCTTTAACGTACTTTATGAAAGCAGACTTACTGAGATGGCTTTTGGAAAGAGATCTGCTCGTGTGTGCGCTGTTCCCTCCAAGCAATACACGCCCAGCCCTGTTTTTCTGAACGCAGCAGGAAACGGGAGACGGTTCCCGTTCTCGCAGTGCCAGGCCCCAGCGGACAAGCGCGCACGTCCACACGGTCATCTGCTTCTGTTGCTCTTCTGGAGAGGAGGGCCTCTTGTCAGCTCTAGCCCTGCTGTCCCAAGCCAAATGTTTCATGTAGTGACTGTGCTCCGTGCTGGCCCTCCGCAGTCACTGCAGCCACGTGCAGATGCTCCCGGTAGCTGGGGAGCACACGCAGAATCACACAGCATCACAGAATGGTTGAGGTTGGAGGGACCTCTGGAGATCACCTAGTTCAACCATACCTGTGATTCAGCATGATTTCAGCCAGATTGGCCTAAAAATTGAAGACCTAACACACAGCAGATACTGCGATGCTACCCGTGTCATTTACCAGTCGTCATGCTAAATTACTGTCGTTATTTTTCTAAACCCCAGCAAAACATTTCAAGTTAGAATCAGGACTCAGACTTGCCTGTATCCTAGTCAGGTTGTATTTCCAATCTTTTCCTAATAACGTAAAAGCCTAAATAGCGGCAAGCACAATCATGAGAGTACAAGCTATGTTTTCCACTTCACGTTACTCTGATAAAAACATACCACATTTCTACTTGAAAGATTTAGGTTATTTTGCTCTTGTGGTCCTTGCCATTTCTGTCAGTTCAATTTTACAAAACCCTAGAGGTAAGAAGATACTTCTATGCACTTTTTGCATGGTGACAAATCCAGGCACAGCTGTTAAAGAAAGTCTTTAGGGATCTGAATACCGGAGTGTAGGTATGTCCAGAATGGTGACCCTGAAATCCAGTATTCATCTGCTGCATGATTTCATAGATATCTATTTCACAAGTAGTTTAACACATGTATCATTAAACCCAGTCATGATCCAGAAAGTAGCTGCAGTTTCAAGACTTTGGTGGCAAAATTAGGGATCTTCTTATCATTGACTATGAAGAGAGTTTGCGTGAAACATGAGGCTGCCCTCCTCTGAGGCATGCTCTATGCACTAGAAATGCAGCATTCCCTGCCAAATGCAGCCCTTTTTTAAAGTGTAAATTATTGCTCTTCATTGTGCCACTGTCATTCATCTTTTACATCCCAGTCTAGCAGCACTTGCTGGTGGGAATCTCTGATCTCTCTAGAGTGAGCCCTGTGAGCTCTTTCTGGTGTGTTCCTGGGGATACATCCAGAGTCTCCGCAGTGCCTGAATCCCAGAGAATTAGTTAACAGGCAACATTAGTTATTAGGAGACAGTCCAGAACTAGAGATCACAACCAAAACGAATGTGTTAGCACCAGAAAAGGGGTGCTTTTGTGTAAACTCTGGTAGTCACTGTTTCCTGTGATGAAACTAGCCTAATCCCATGCAGTGTAGATGGGTCACGGCAGGGCTGCGGCTGCTCTTGCAGCAGCCACATGCTACGTGCAACAGCGACAGCTTCCCAGTACTAGCAGCAGGATACACTTGTTTGTGTTGGAAACACCTCCTACTTCACAAGAGTAAAAGCTGTGTGGTGTCACATTTAGCATGTCAGACTATTGGATTGCAGCAGCTAGAAGCTGAGAATGATTTCCTTGAAGCAGCATCTCATTGAGCTTGGTCTGTTTTTCTTTGGGAGTAGGGAGAAACTGGAAAAGGGAGAAGGAGGAATAAAACAATTTTTTACCCTTCAGTACCAAATAACTTACCTGTCAACAGTGTTACCACGGTTGTTCAGCAAGCTTTTTATAGTTGCCTGACTCCCAGCTTGGACCTTCTTTTATATGAATGTTAAGTAAGTGCTGCATCTAGAACTGTATTCAGAATACCATACGTCGCAGAGAAAACACTGCAAGGTTAAAAATGGGACCTTGTCCATCTGGAGGCTTCCTTTTTCCTGTAAAGACTGTCATCTCATCTGAGTAAATCTGTTCTAAATGAAAGAACCTGGTCAACACAGGCATCTAAATAACTCTGATAGTAGAGTTAGCACTGCTATTTATATAGCTACTCCAGAGAATACCCTTATCCATTGCACTTTTGGCCACTGAGCTGCATTTTGGCAGATAACTGATGTTGTCTGCTCCACCCAATCAGCAGAACTGAGGCACCTGCTTCACTCCACCCATGTGCTTCTGTGTTTTCTTCTAAGTCTAGTTATGAGTTTGGAGGAAGAGGATTGCCCATAGTCATTTTTCATTTTTTTTTTAATAGTGGACTGTTTTTCGATTTAATTGCTTGTGGTGCTGCAGTGTAATATGGGAAGTGCTCTGCTGAGTAAACTGCTCAGAACTTGGCGTGGTGTTCAGTATTTTTATGATTTTACTCAAGATAGTGATAGTAACCAAACACAACTAGGATTTTTCTGGCTAATTTTTGGAATATTGAGATAACACTTACAGGAAGTTAACATTCAGCTTTGCAAGTGAGGAAGCAAATTCTAGGAAGAAAATAATGTGTGGATAAGTTATCAGGAGCCTCTGAGAATAAAAGGTTTATCGAATCATTGATTGCACAAGAGCAGAGAGTGCAGTAACTTGTGGTTATGTGGGAAATTCACCATAAATCACAGTAAGATTCAGCATCTTGCAGGGATCGATGCTGGGATCTGAACTGAGAGTTTTCAGTATGGTTAGCTGAGTGATGTATGGCCTGAGACAGTGACTGTTTAGCACTTAGATGTTACCAGAAAGCTCAAAGGAGCTTCTTTTTTTCTTTCTGCTATCAATAACTGACGACTGCAGTGTCTGATCAATAACCAAGGACTGCAGTGTCTGTAGAGCTTTCAGTAAGAGCACAGAGATGGCATTTGGAATGGAATTTATTCTTCCATTATGCTGTCAGAAAAATAAAATTCTGTATCTGTGTTTGAAAACAGTCTCAGTTTTAAGTTCAACTCAGCTGTACCCTGCGGCTGAAACATGGCCATGTTTTGGCAGCATGGAAGCTGCCATATGTTGTAATGATAGAGATGCCAATCTCCATCTGCACTGATGCCAGTCTCTGAAGTCAGACTTATGAAAAATACCTAAAGGAGTATATATGTAGCAATATAAGCAATTATAGCTCTACAATCTTAAGGATATATTAAAGATATTTTTTCATCGTGCACTGTGTAAATGCCACAGACTGCAATTCACTCATGTTCTTCAGAGATCTAATAAATAAATCCATTCTGTTTCCTATCATACAGAACTGCTTGTTGTCTGTCTACCAACTTCCAATAACCAGAACACAATTCCACTCTTTGAATAAGTTCTTACTTATTGACTGGCTTTCAGTCAGCACACACTGGAAATCAATGAGCAGATTCTTTTTTTAGCATGGCCATTCATGCAAGGCCTCCAAGTGAGAGCATGAATGTGGAGAGGCGGAACATGACTGTTAACAACATGACATTTTCTTTCTTTCTTTAAGGTGAGTATAGGCTGTTGGTTCACAGCTCTCATGGGTGACTTCCAAAGCTTTTAAAATCATCACTTAGCTCATTTTAGTGCCTGAAATATGTTTAGTATCTTTGGACACGAACAGGTATTTGTGTTACTGATACACAATAGTCTAAAGGACCGTCTACTCAGAGGCTGTGGTAGAGCTGAACCACATCTACGCAACTTAATGCAAAACGAGATACACAATGCAAAAGAAACACCTCAAGCAAAATTCCTTCTCCTTCCTTTTGTAAGGACTGCAGTTGTTTCTCATTGCTGAAGAGGACAGCTGCTGATCAGTAAAGCCTAATATCTCAGCAGTTACATGTTCACCCCGAGTATCCTGAGACACATTGTGAGACTGCCGAGAATGGCACTGAAAGTGGCTGGTGGATTCCTTTAGCATCTCTTTTTTTAAAACCATTTATGTCCCTTAGATCTGGAGAAAAATTATTAGGAGACACAATAAATTTGTTGCAGTTAGAAATTGTACTGTTGATTAGGTCTGTAGTTTTCAGGCGCACATTTTCTTGCACAGCAGTCATGGTTGTCTTCAAACTTCTATTTTTTTTGCGAATACATCAGCTAAATTCTTCCAAGTTTCCTGAACTATCAGGTCGTTCTGTCTTTGCAGCAAAGACACTAATTCAGTTGTTCCCCTTGCAAGCCTCGTCATTTCCACTTCTTTTAAATTCCTAAAATCATTCTGAAGCTGAGCAAAACCACTGGCTATTTCTTCTTGTAATATTTTCAGAGTGAGAGATCTCCAAAGGAATTATGCATTTTCTTTTTATGACTCCCCGTCTCATCAGCCGCAGCAGAATATTTCCTCATGTTATTCTGAATCTGACAGTTTAGCTGGAGGACAAATTTCTGCCACTGATGTAAAGCTATTTAATGCTCTTCCTATTCCAGATGTATGGTCCTCAAGCAACCTCAGCAGCTCAGCTTTACCATGAAATGACAGCCTCGTGTTGCAGTATTTTTAAGACATGTAAGAAACTTCAGATTCCAGTTCTTTAACAGAGGTAAAAGATGCTGATGCAAGGATATTACCTGCCAAAGAACTGGGGGAGAGGAGGTCACCTATAAAATCTGTATAAAGATGGTAACAGCTGTTCTTGCATTCACATAGTTCTCACTGACTGAATCTTGGCTTTTGTTGAACATAACTTCTGTTTCTTCTGCAGATGTATTTGGATGATAGCATTGTGTACATGAATAGCCTTCTTATGATCCCGTTTCACATGAAGACCAGATAAATCTTTCGTTATAATAGCACTAAACAACTTGCTGGCTAGGCCATGAAGATTTTCTTCAGTGTTTTCCAAAACTGAAAGTATATATGAACCTCGGCCAGACGACCTTGATTTCTTGCAGATCTGTGTTTCTTCTCTTTCTTCTTGTTTCTTCAGTGTTTTCCAAAACTGAAAGCATATATGAACCTTGGCCACATGACCTTGATTTCTTGCAGATCATTCTGTGTTTCTTCTCTTTCTTCTTTTTTTGCAGATCTGCTTTACGTTGTTCAGGTTCTTTTTTATTAATTGTGAGTGGCTTAGTGATTCTTTTCACTTTTTTCATGGCACTGATTATGTCAATATACTCTGCAATGTATTCTTCCTCAGTTGTCACCTTTCCATTAGGGGCTTCATTAATTTTCAAGGGAAATACAGAGTCCTTTTGCTTCTTGTACAGAAGCAGACTCTCGGCTCAGATGCTCAATCTCTTCAGCATATTCTTTGTCAG